AAAATCCTTTGAAATTGACTCTAGGATGAAGATGAGTCCTATATGAAGAGCCACCATACCTCAATTGATGAAATCTCAATGAAATTTGGTGGAAGGGAACCCTCAATTGAAACCCTAGCTCTCCACCTTCTTCTTCCTTGAACTTGAGAGAACTTTAGAGAGAGAAAGAACTTTGGGGTTTTGATTTTGGAAGAATGAATTCAAAAACACCTCTTAAATGTTTTAATACCTTTAAAATACTTAAAATAACTTAAAATAATAATAACCCAAAGTACCCAAACTACCATTCACTTAGTTGGACCTTTTTAAACAAGTCCAACTTGAGTTTTATTTTTGCAGATTTCGTCGGGAAACAAGTTCGCGACGCGGAGGTGTTTCCACAAGTTTTTTTGGAAATTAAATTCGAGACAGTTGAGTCCACGGTATCTCCGCGACGCGGAGCCACTCCCTCCAAGAACAACTTCAAGCTGCCTTGGCAGCTTACTTGGCCAAAGGTTGGGGTCCTCCTCGGGGATCCTTAGGGTGGTCCCGGGGAGTTGTACCCGAATGTTTTTAACCTAAAAACATTTATTAAGACACTAGGGTCACCTCCACTGATTTTAGTCTCCAAACAACCCATAAAAACATGAACAACATACTAGAACACACCAACACGTAAAAGACTAGTTTCCGAACGTCTTGGTCGTCCCTTGACGTTTGACTTCCAAACTCTTTATAACTGACTAAAAAGGCTATTCTTCATTATTTTAACAAGTTATTAAATCTTAGGACCCATGTGAGGCTCTACTTTATCCTACTTCATTTTGAGGGGTGTTACAATATCCCCACTTGGGAACATTCGTCCTCAAATGACACTTTAAAATATTAAGGGTAATGACTCAAGACTAGCAACCCACAACAATCATACAATATCAATATGAAAGCACTCATCAAGGAGGAAACATCAACTCCACATAACAAGCCATTACAACACAACTTCATTCAAATTTATGGAAGTAGGAATCACACCTACAACTCAACATGCCTCAAACCCTTTTTTTTTTCCATTTCTCATTTATTTGGAGGAACTTCCTTCTCCATAGCACCTCATCCTCATAACAACATTAAAGAACACAATATGCAATTATCTTATTAAAACACAATCATGCTACTGTCACGACCCGGGATCACCCCCTAGTCGTAACCGGCGTACTCGACCTCGAAGAGGTCTTAAACAAGCCTCTTAGCATTCATTCATCGCATAGACACTAAAACCATAAGGAATTAAAAACTTTCTTTACCAAGAAAACATTTCATTAAAAAAAAAAAATAGCAAGCGAAAGACTTTCTAGACTTTATACATGATGTCTCAAAACCATCTAATACTTTAGAGTACAAAATTCGGGACCAATCCCATACACAACTTAAACAATACTAAAAAGACATAAAAGAACATATGGGGTATTGTCCTCGAATATATGAGGACTCACCAAGTCTTTATCTTCAACACTTAGAAACCTATCAAATAGCCATGCCATGTCACCATCTCCAAATCCCTACACTTTAGTCAAAAAGGGAAAGAAAGGGGTTAGCACAATTAAGTACTAAGTATGGAAGCCATGCAAAAACATGCTAAAAGGGACGTTTATTGGAGAAACATGCTTTTATGCAATTTGGTAAAACTTCATGAAAAAAATACAAGTATAAGAGTCACAATATCCAACCATAACCAACATACAAGTCATTAACCACTTTAGCACATACTCCACACATAACCCATTCTTTCACCTTAAACCATCCACCTCAAGTAACCCTTGGACAACACTTTGTGCAATGTATGGATAGCGTCCCATACCACCATCCACACTAAAGCATCATCCTAAGGCCACCAAATGTGAACTTACCACTTATCATGCTTCATATCACAAGCCATCATGCACAACTAGTACCAATGTACAACACATGAACATAATTGACAAGTAAGCCTTTTCATCATTTCTTGACCTCTATCTCAAGTTACCCAAAGCCACACTTAAGTGAAACATGAAGTGACCGCCCATACAATCTCTTCATATACACCTAAGTGTTCCTAAGGGTTACCATAGATAAGGAAATTTACCATTACAATATAACATACTAAGTCAATGTTCACATATAAAACCATAGCCAACCGTATACATACTCAACATATATTCATATACAACCCATGCTTAGCTTTAAAGGAACACATGCCATTTCATTACCATAGGACCTCTACCTAATATAACCTTAAGACACACTTGAGTAAGACAAGAAGTGACCGCCAATACAACCTCTTCAAGCACACTTAAATGTTCCTCAAGATTACCTTAGATAAAGACATTTCCTTTACAACATAACATCAATAGACCAACATTCTTTAAGAAACCATTTTTGGAGACATTCAAGCACATAAGGGGACTTTCACATAATAGTCGTTAGACTTAGGGAACTCACTTTAGTATCTTCAAAGCCTACTCGTGCCATGTGTAGATAACATCCCATACTACTACCTACACGTTGTAGAACCTATCCAATAACTAGAGTGCGCATCCCACATGATGGGAATAGGCATAACCGACATAGACCATACTAGCTAGGTATGGAATCCGGAGTCTATCCTACTCCGTGGAGGTTGTTTTACTTGCCAAAGGTAGAACTAGTAAGCAACCCATGTAGGCACATGGTTTAGGGGATGTCCAAGGAAGTTCATTGTGCCTAATCTCATACTCAACTAGGACACCTTCCTAACCACATCCACTCGGTGCTAGTCTTGTTTCCCATAGAGTATTCAATCACATATGTACTTAGAGAAGGTTCCTTTTCTAGTTCAACCAACTCATAGTACCTCTTCCCAAGAAAGGCCCCATTTCTTAGTCATGGCGAATCAAGGTTCATAAGGATAGCTCATTAAATCCCCCTGAAAGGGTGCCTTAGGCCTACCGATTTTTCATTAAGGGTGCCTTAAGCCTGCCGGTCCAAGGTTCATCATTTCACACATGAGAAGGGCTACCACCATTAGGTCTACCGATTTCATGGTTTTACATTTACTTAGGAAAGCTAGACTTATGAAAGGGCACCATTTCTTAGTTTTGCCGATTCAAGTCTTGGCCTAGAATTTCTCTTTTAGCATTTATAGAAAGGGCACCATTTCTTAGTTTTGCCCATTTCACACATTCATGCATTCAAGACTTTAAGTAACAAGGAGGGACACTTTAGTCTACCAACCAGGTCACAACATTTTCATTTAAGGATACTTCATAATCCAACATCATTTCATATATACATCATGATAAATCATACTTTAACTCACAATGCTATCCACTTTACATAGGATCATCACAAGATCACATAAAACTCATTCACATCATACCTTCACATATAACTTCATATAAAACTCATTCACATCATACCTTCACATATAGGTTCACATAAAACTTTACATATAGCTTCATATAGGACTTTACATATAGCCTCATTCATATATAATAATATAACAATACAATAACACTCATATAATGCCCTTCATGGCCTTAATTCACAATAATACAATATTCCAACATTATGCAACAACTTCCCCAATGCCTTCATGGCTACAATTAACAATAATACCACACAAGAACAAGATATAACACTTCCACCAAATGTGGATTCAACCTACCAACAACAATTAATTCAATAAAGAGAGTTCAAGCTTTCTTACCATAATTCAAAGCCATAGCCAAAATCACCAAAAATCCAAGCAATCACCAATACTTCACTCATAAGGCTTACCACCCTTAATTCACCCATTATCAACAATTAATCATGAATAAAAATTAAACAACACAAGAGATATCAATACAATTCACTTTACACATAATTCCATCAACTTTGAATTTATAGAAATAGACCACTTCATAAACACATTTTGGGGTTTTGTAGAATACAAGGATTCATGGAGTTTTTCATCTTAAAACATCAAATAAACATCAATAATATCATAACTTATCATTTGAAATCGTTTCATGCAAGAACCCATGAGTTTGAGTAGAAATTAGGCTTTTTCACAAACTTTGGAAAAGTTGAAAACCATTTGAAATTGGCTCTAGGGCGATAGCTTGCCCTAGATAAAGAACTCCCATACCTTTACTAAGATTCCCCAAGAAATTTGATGAAGAAAAGGTCTTGCATCCACAACCCTAGCTCCCACTTCTTCTTCTTCTCTTCTTTCTCTCTTCTTCTCTTCTTCACTCAAGAACCCTAACTCTTACTCTTTTAAAATGGAACAAAAATGATCCACAATCAGCCTAACACAACAATATAACCTCAAAAGAAATGATTTGTGAAAAGACCAAAATGCCCTTAAATTTCCGGACGGACTACCTGCCAACTGCCCAACTTTCAAAGGGTATAAGTCGCTCATACGAACTCGGAATCGAGCAAACTCGGTGGCGTTGGAAAGATCGTTCCAAGGGCTTTCCAAACATAACTGGAACTACTCCTGGATCATTCTGAGCTAGGAGTTATGACTACTCAAAGTTGGCTAAAAACTCACTGATTTCCACACTTGGCCGAATTTCCAAATTCTGAATTTTTTTCCAAAAATGACTACTTCCAATTTCAAGCTTCTTCATATTCATTTTAAATTGTCGGATGTTACAGCTACATCAAGAATACACTTAAACTTGCTCAACAAATCAACTCTAACAACTTTTAGCAACTCACCAATTTATGCATATAAGGAGAACAACGATCATGAAACTGATTTTCTCATTTAATCAAGAACTCAATTTAAAGCATGCATCATTATAAGGAGAAATATAGAAACTCATTTTTTTCACACAAGACTCCAAAAACCATGCATCATGCTTCTACAATTCTATGACTAGAACTCGATTAGGAATAGAAGAAGGAGACAAGAATATCCAAACTCACCTCAACTCATCATTCAACATACCATCCCCCACTTAGGAGAAACCCATCTAAACCAACACAAAAGGATTCCAACACAAAACTAGAAATTATGACTTACCGGCACCTTCATCCGGATTTGCTTCCTTGTTAGATAGGAGAGCATAGAAACGATTCCTTGCTTGACCATCAACACTAGGACTACTATAAGGAGCTTGCCTAGCATTCCTTCCTTTAGCCACAATATTAGGACAATCTCGCACCTTGTGATCATTTTTCTCACAACCATAGCAACCACTAGTGCCGGATAGACACTTCCCAAAATGCTTCTTTCCACAAGTGGAACAAGTAGGCATAGCAATTTGAGAACCACCACCTCCTTCATGGTTAACCTTAGGAGCACTTTATAAATATTAATTTGGAGCCCTCTTCTTAAACCTAGGTTGTCCTTGATCCTGTAACAACCCGAGAGCACCCTGTAGTCGTTACCGGCTTATTCGACCCCGAAGAGGTCTTATACAAGACCTTAGCATTCATCATAGCATGTATCATAGAATAAAATCACGAAAAATTTAAAACTTTTACTTTGGAAGTTATACTTCACTTCATATATGAAAAATAGAATATAAATTCGTCACAATGTACCATCTAGACATAGAATTAGCAAAAATGGGACTTAGCCCTTACATCAATAAGAAGTCTTGAAATAGGGAAGTACAACAATGTCTTTCAACATAAGCAAAGAACTAAACATAGAAGCTAGATCATAGGGTCTTGTCTTCGGACTTGAGGACTCACCAACTTGGGGAAGCAACTCCAAGTGTCTTGAGAAGTAAGCTTGAATCTTCAATGGCCCGAACCTAAATGTTTGGGGAAAAAGGAGAAAAATATGGGTTAGTACAACACACGTACTAAGTATGGCTACTATGCATAAAAACCATTGAAACATGCATAAAAGGACATTTAGCCAAAACATGCTTTTTACCAAGTAAATCCAATATGCACACAAGTAAGCATCATAGTATAACCAACTTAATATCACCCCAACATGTAGACAACCCAAGCAATACTAGTGCAATGCAAAGAATAGAATCCCATAACCTTATTCAAAGCCCAGTATCACATTAAGCAACCTACTTCAAGCATACATTCATAAGATCATACATAACATAGCATCAACATACATAAGTCATAATCATCATAATCATAAGAGAACACTACTACAACCATCTCTTAGGATCCCACAAGTGTAATGTGCAAGAGAAGTCTCATACCCTTCCTTACACTATATAAAAACCCTTAAGAAAGCCCTAGTAAGAGTTCACACCTTTTATACCTTCATTTACTTTTACATAGGGAAATATTGCAATAACCGACATAGACCATGAGAGCTGCATGGAATCCGGTGTTCTACTCCCACACCGAAAAGAGAAGGTGAACACTTACCTAAGGTGTAACCATTCATACATAGCTATCTAGGTGGATCCACTAAGCTAAAGTCCTATGTGGGCACATAGTTACGGGTCAAGGAGATTGCTTCTAGAAACCCTAACTTAGTAAACGTGGGGATTTCCATCTCATGAGACAACACATATCGTGGGTAATCCGGACTTGCTAAACCTGAGGAAAGACTACGACCGCTAGCTCAAGGTCATGAGTTGGATAATTCTTCTCATGCACCTTGAGTTGTCTCGAGGCATAAGCTATAACCTTACCATGCTGCATCAGGACACAACCCAAACCCACTCGGGAAGCGTCACAATATACTACAAACCCTTCGATGCCCTCTGGTATGGTCAAAACCAGAGCAGAGGTGAGCTTATCTTTCAACAATTGGAAGCCCTTTTCACAAGGTTCCGACCATTCGAACTTGGACTTCTTTTGAGTTAAAGCCGTTAATGGAGATGCAATAGATGAAAATCCCTCAACAAACCTCCGGTAGTAATCGGCCAAACCCAAAAAGCTTCGGATGTCGGAAGGACTCAAAGGTCTAGGCTAAATTTTGAACGCATTGGTTTTCTTTGGATCAACTTCTATACCCTCACTAGAAATAATGTGACCAAGGAAAGCAACCGATCTTAGCCAAAATTCGCACTTGCTAAACTTAGCATAGAGTTGGTGATCTTTGAGGACTTGTAACACTATCCTCAAATGATTCATGTGATCATCCTCACCTTTAGAAAATATCGAGATGTCATCAATAAAGACAATAAAAAATGAGTCTAGATAATTTCTAAACACGCGATTCATAAGGTCCATGAAAGCCGCCGGGGCATTTGTAAGACCAAAGGACATCACTAAGAACTCAAAATGACCATATCTTGTTCGGAAGGCTGTTTTCGGAACATCAACACTTCTCACCCTAAGTTGCTGATAACCCTACCTCAAATCAATTTTTGAAAAGTAACTCGCTCCTTGAAGTTGATCAAATAAGTCATCAATCCTAGGGAGTGGATACTTATTCTTAATGGTAACCTTATTTAATTGTCGGTAATCAATACACATACGAAGAGATCCATCCTTCTTCACAAATAACACCGGTGCACCCCAATGAGATATACTAGGTTGGATGAAACCCTTATCCAACAAATCTTTGAGTTGAGCCTTTTAATCCTTTAACTCCGCCGGGGCCATCCGATAAGGAGGGATTGAAATGGGTTGTGTATCTGGCGATAAAACTATGCCGAAATCTATTTCCCATTCGGGAGGAATCCCGGGTAAGTCATCAGGAAAGACTTCCAGAAAATCCTTCACTACGGGGACCGACTCCAAACTAGGAATCTCGGACTCAAGATCCTTGACCCTCACAATATGATATAGACAACTCTTAGAAATCAACTTACAAGCTTTTAGACATGAAATGATCCTTCCCCTAGGAACATAATTTCTTCCCCTCCATTCTAAAATGGGTTCATTAGGAAATTGAAACTTCACAATTCGGGTCCTAGAATCCATGGGCGCAAAACAAGCATGAAGTCAATCCATCCCCATTATAACATCAAAATCTAACATATCAAGTTCCATTAAATCAATCAAAGTTACTCTATTGGGCAATGATATGGGACAACCCCTATAAACTCTTTTAGCAACCATGGAATCACCCACCGGGGTAGAAATCGAGAAGGGTTTATCTAAGACATCGGGAAGCATATCAAACTTTATAGCCATTAAAGGGGTTACAAAAGACAAATTGGCTACGGGATTTAACAATGCATAAACATTTATTGAAAATACTTGCAACATACCAGTCACAACATCCGGAGAGCTCTCTTGATCACCTCGGGATTGGAGAGCATAGAAGCGATTCTTCTTAGGAGCATCGGGATTTGGGCCACTTGCTTGTGCTTGAACATTTCCCTTCCTTGAGCCTTTAGCATAGGGCAGTCCCTACTCATGTGGCCGCTCTTACCACAACCATAGAAATTACCCGTGCCAACTAGGCACTTCCCTTCATAATTTCGACCACACATTGTATAAATAGGCTTCTCAACATAAGGACCACTACCTCTTGGTTCTTGAGGCTTGGGGGTAGACGCTTTACCTTTGTTGACCCTTTGAGTGTTAGGAGGACCTTGGTTGGAAAACCTCTTTTTGAACTTTGGCTTATCTTGGATTTCAAACCTAACCTTAGAAGAATTTCCATCGTCGGCCCTTGACCTCTTCAACTCTCTACCAACTTGCTTAAGTTTTTGCTCCTCAATTTTCTCGGCTTGAACCATAAAGCGAGAAATGTCCATGATTGGGATTAGCATAGCTGACCTACATTCATTCACCACAAGATTGGATACACCCATAACAAATTTGTTCATTGTAGCTCTAGAGTCCGACACCAAAGTAGGTGCATGCTTCGACAATTGAGTAAACTTGAGGCCATACTCCTTCACACTTATACCCCCTTGACGGAGGTTGATGAATTCTTGCATTTTCCTCTCCCTTAGTTCCAAGGGGAAAAACCTATCAAGAAAAGCCATCTTGAATGTAGCCCAACTTATCGGACCCCCTCTAATAGGTCTCCCCTCCTTCCATTGTTCATACCACACCTGTGCCACATCTTTGAGTTGATAGGCGGCTAACTCTGCCTTTTCTTGGGAAGACACACCCATTGCCTCTAGAACCTTAAACACTTCATTAATGAATCCTTGTTGATCTTCTTCCACTTTGGATCCAAAGAAAGTAGGGGGATTCATCCTTGTGAAATAGCTTATCCTAGAAGCAGTAGTGCTAGCATTGGGGTTCACTTGCACCCTAGCATCCCTAGCAACTTGAGTGGCCAACACTTGAGTCAAATTATGAATAGCCGACCTTATCTCAACATTAGACATAACCACTTCTTCAATAGGAACTTGAGGGTTTTGAGGAGTTTGAGGGGGAACCAACTCATTCACATTCTCCTCACCGGCCCTCCTTGCATTCTTCCGTCTTGTGTTCATAGCCTATAAGCACAAGAGAAGGATTAGAAGAAAAGGACTAAATAGAGTTAAAACTCTTAGGCACGACTATGGAATATAAAAAAGAGTGAATGTTCCTAAGCTTCTCGTAGCCTCTCATTCATAAGTGTGACACACTTCACACCCATGAAAAAGACTTTACTCGACATGGCATCTTGTGAAATGAATCCTACATTTTTCTCAACCTCGCTCTGATACCAAGTTTGTAATGACATGAGAGCACCCTTTAGTCGTTACCGGCGTATTCGACCTCGAAGAGGTCTTATACAGGCCCTTAGCATTCATCATAACATGTATCATAGAATAAAATCACGGAAAATTTAAAGCTTTTACTTTGGAAGTTATACTTCACTTCATATATGAAAAATAGAATCTAACTTCATCACAATGTACCATCTAGACATAGAATTATCAAAAATGGGACTTAGCCCTTACATCAATAAGAAGTCTTGAAATAGGGAAGTACAACAATGTCTTTCAACATAAGCAAAGAACTAAACATAGAAGCTAGATCATAGGGTCTTGTCCTCGGACTTGAGGACTCACCAACTTGGGGAAGCAACTCCAAGTGTCTTGAGAAGTAAGCTTGAATCTTCAACGGCCCGAACCTAAATGTTTGGGGAAAAAGGAGAAAAATATGGGTTAGTACAACACACGTACTAAGTATGGCTACTATGCATAAAAACCATTGAAACATGCATACAATGACATTTAGCCAAAACATGCTTTTTACCAAGTAAATCCAATATGCACACAAAATAAGCATCATAGTACAACCAACTTAATAACATCCCAACATGTAGACAACCCAAGCAATACTAGTGCAATGCAAAGAATAGAATCCCATAACCCTATTCAAAGCCCAGTATCACATTAAGCAACTTACTTCAAGCATACATTCATAAGATCATACATAACATAGCTTCAACATACATAAGTCATAATCATCATAATCATAAGAGAACACTACTACAACCATCACTTAGGATCCCACAAGTGCAATGTGCAAGAAAAGTCCCATACCCTTCCTTGCACTATATAGAAACCCTTAAGAAAGCCCTAGTAAGAGTTCACACCTTTCATACCTTTATTTAGTTTTACATAGGGAAATATTGCAATAACCGACATAGACCATTAAAGCTGCATGGAATCCGGTGTTCTACTCCCACACCGAAAAGAGAGGGTTAACACTTCCCTAAGGTGTAACCATTCATACATAGCTATCTAGGTGGATCCACTAAGCTAGAGTCCTATGTGGCCACATAGTTAAGGGTCAAGGAGATTGCTTCTAGAAACCCTAACTTACTAAACGTGGGGATTTCCATCTCATGAGACAACACATATCGTGGGTAATCAAGACTTACTAAACGTGAGACCCCCATCTCATTTACATGCCCTTTCGGTGCTAAGCATCTAATTCCCCTTTGTAATCATCTTTAGTCATCACATAAGTTCACATTAGCCTTTATTAGACTCTTATGTAGACATCTTACCATAATAGCTCATATGTGTTTATAAGTGAGTAACAATCCTTTCACTTTAGGAACACTTAACAACTGAGTTAACCTTTCACTGTACATTACGTTATAATCATGAGAACTGCCTTTCGATCATATAACAATCATACCATAACATACATACATACTTCATAGCTAATTCAAGTGTAGAGGGTTAAGGATGAGGAAACTAGGTCATCAACACCACAATAACACATTAGGTATAACATCATTACAATCTAAGTAATCCACCTTTCATACTTGATTTCAAAGAAGAACCAACCTTCATACCTTCTCGCCCTTCATGGGACATTCATACTTCAATTACCAGCCAATTCATAATCAATAAATAATACAAGGTAATTCATGAAGTAATAACATAATCAATATCAATATAAACAATTAACATATCCCCTTCATAGCCTTCAAGGCTTCATTCAAAGACTCCACCCTAATTTCATAGAAATTATACAAACCCTAGGGTGTAATCATCATATAAACATGAATTTCATAGCATCACATTCAATTCATAGCCTTCGATTAATATCCAACACAAGCTAGGGTTAGAATTAGGAAAGAAAGAGAAACATGGGTCTCATGGGGAATTCTCTAAGAACCCATAAATACAACATATATTCATCCATAATTGTTCATATAACATCAATCAAAGTTATTTTATAACATAAATTTCATTTTAGAAAGAAGACCCACGTTTTTGGATTGAAACCTAGAAATTTGGATATTTTGAAATTCATCTTGAAGGGGCCTCTTGGGGAAAGAAATCCCAAGAGTGATAAGCAACCATATCTTAGTTGATTCCTTGAGAATCAATGGAGAAACTCCAATCAATTTGGGAAAGAACCGTGAAACCCTAGCTCCAATGTCTTCTTCTTCTTCTTTAGTTTTAGAGAGAGAGAGAGAGTTTAGAGAGAAGTAGGAGAGTTTTGATTTCAATTGGTTGTTGTGAATAATGACCAATACTCATGAATTTAGACTTAAAACTCAATATATTTTTAACCTCTAATATACCCAAAACATCCCTACTTATATAGGACTTAAAAAGGAAAAGTCCCAAAACTCCTTATTTAAATGGTCCCCGTCAGGAACCACGGCCACCCTTCTTGGGTTGTGAAGGTGCACCAAGGGCCGTGGTTCTTCCCGTGGTGTTGGAGGAAGTAGCTCCCCTTTCGTGCACAAGCCAACACATGGCCAAGGCAAGACCACGGAGCCTTCCACGATCCGTGGTGAGTACCATAGTCCGTGGTGATGGCTTTGGTCATGACTTGGCCTTGTGGAGGCAAGGCCTTCATGCCTTGGTGCCAAGTGATGTTCATGAGTCACCCCTCTCCCTCGTCAAGTGCACCACGGCCCATAGTGGTGTCATGGTGTCTTGGGCATTAGCTACCCTAACAACCCCCCAATTCCCTAAAAGCCAAGGGAGCTCCACGCCCACCTTCACGAGTCGTGAAGTGGACCACGACTCATGGTCCCTCTCGTGAAGGGTGAGGCAGTGTCTAGGACACTTGGAGGTCCCTCTCCCTTGACCAAGAAAACTCCACAAAGCCTCCCACTTTCCCATGGTCATGACCACGAGCTGTGGTTGTGGCCGTTGAGTTTGAGGCAGTAGCTCCAAGTTTGGGGCAGCCTTGGTCTTAGGCGTTGGCTTGCCTCTTTTTGCTTGGCACTCCTCCCTTAGGCCTTAAATCATAGACCACCATAGCACTCCTAGATGGTCTACTAACTTAGGGGAATTTATTTTATACCTCATTGACACTACG